CATGTCAGTAGAGCCAACAGTCGATGAAGAGTCCTTGCGAATTCTTTGCAGAGGGCGGCGTGGATGGATGATCGAGTCGGCGCAGGGTTGCCCAATCATTTGTCTATGCGATCAATGAGTCGTCGATGATTGGCTTGAAACGATAGTCAAAACCACCAATCAACACGCAGATCAACCATTTGATGGATCTTTTGCCCTCCTAATATTGCTTCAAACATCATTTGAAAGCTGTAAAATAAGCATTTTCGATCGACGCTGGAATGGATCACAGCTTAAAGTTGGGCGTTGAAGGGTTAAATGACCTGTACAAGAGTAATGCCAAATTCCACCTCATTGCGCAGGGTATCCATGTTGCTCCATGCCATTGTTATGCACTAGATACACTTGTCCTTGGAACTGTGTCTATCACGCCTCAATACGTATCTCCATCTACAGCCCCAGTGCAGAGGCTCTGGACTCTTTCGTGGCCGAGACGCGCGACCAAATCTCGTACTAGTGCGTATCTTTGAATTCAGCTTCGGCACCGCCCAGTGTACTACGTCGTCCATACATCCGAGGGCCCCTTCGTGCCGCAAACGCACCCAACTATAATGCAATGGTGTTCGAGGCGACCGCGAGATCTGCATGAAGCATTCATCAATGGCATGCCGAGGTGCTTTCGGCGCTTCAAGAAATGTAGAGATACGTGGCAGCCGTAGGGGTGAGTTACAGGACACACTGACGTTACGGGACTTTACGATGTAGGCAGTGTGGTCCAGCGCACATCGTTCCTATTATAGCGTAGGCGTCGGGCGTGCAAAAGCCGCGATTGCTAGTATAGAGACGAGGTCCATTGCTGCAAAAAGCGTGGTGCGCGGACACCGCCGGCGCCAGCAAGCTGCTGGTACACCTTCATTCAACAACAAATCCGCAACAGATGGGTGGTCGCGCGATTGTGTGGGGACGACAGCATCATGTTTCATTTGATTTTACTATGCGCCGTGTGCACTGCACAACGTCAACGATTCCTAGTCATTACGACCCGTAGTTCGAAGTGCTTTGCAGTCGCACGTTAAGGCGCCTTTGGGCCTTTTTCGAAGTTCGAAGCTCCAATTTAGTTGCCGGCGCGTGACTCACGGCGCGCAGGTGTCCTTTCGCAGGTGCAATTGCGTGCGAAGAAACGAGGTGCACTGGCTGCCTCCACTGCAGTTTTGTTGCCTCCGCGCCCACTTCTGACATGCGCCTTTCTGCATGTATCGCCGCCTTCGTGGCGGCCGCCGCCGCAGCCAGCGCCCTCGACCATCCCGACAGCCACCGGATGCTCCGCGTACTTGATGACGTGACGGTAGCGCCGACCGACAGTCCTACCGAGGCACCTACGACGGCACCTACGACGGTGCCAACGGTGCCGACGGAGGCTCCCACCGACGCTCCCACCAAGGCGCCGAAGCCAACGGATGCGCCAACGGATGCTGTCACAGACGCTCCTACCAAGGTGCCGACTGACGC